TGCTAATAAATAAAAATTCTCGGTTTGAATCGAGTGAAATGAATTTAATTTCATGAATTTCGAATGATTTAAATCTGCACTCGATTGAAATAATGAGTTATTAGGATTAAAAATTTTAATTAGTAAATAATTTCACCCTTCTTCTGATTTAGGCTTTTCAGCTTGGCTTTTGGCGAGACGTTCCTCGATCTCGCGCTCTTTAGCAGCAGTGTCCACTGGTTTAGCAGCTCCAAAAATATTAGCTGCTGGCTTCGGCTCTGGTTTCGGCTCTTGTTTATCAACTTCCTGGGGTTGAGCTTCCTTCTCCTCTCTGACGATAGTCTCGATTGGTTTAGTGCGTGGAAGAAGATTCAGGGTGGGTCGTGTACGTGGTTCACTCGATGCTGCAACAATTTTTTAAAATAACAATAATTAGCCCAACGAAATACCTCTGACGATTTATGAATTACTAAATAAATTAATTAGACGACAAGATATTTATTTCTAAATAAGAATAATATTTTTCCAACGTCAATGGAAATTCTGTAATTAAATTAAAAAAAATAATATTTATAAATAAATCCCAATGATCTCACCATCCTCACGTTCAGGAAATCGATCCCTGTCATTGCGTCGTGGTGGAAAAGCAGATGTGCCCCCAGTGTTGGTCTCCCTTGACCAATCACGTTCCTTCTCCTCCTTGTCATCGTACCCCCTGCGTTCCCTATCCCCAAATCCCCTGCGTTCGCCATCCCCAAATCCTCTGCGTTCGCCATCTCCAAATCCCCTGCGTTCGCCATCCCCAAATCCCCTGCGTTCGCCATCCCCAAATCCCCTGCGTTCCCCATCCCCAAATCCCCTGCGTTCCCCATCCCCATACCCCCTGCGATCACCACCAAATCCCCTGCCCTCGCCATCTCCAAAACCCCTGCGTTCACTGCGATTATCATCCCTGAAGGTTCTCCTCTCTCCAAAAGACGACGTACTGCGATCACCCTCTCTCCATGCCCCGGGTCTGTTATCACTGTCACTCCTGTCGTCTCGATTATCAAAAGCCCGTGAGCGAAAACGATCGTCACCACCTGACGGCTGCTCACGCGGCGTACTACGCCAATCGCCAGATGTACGTTCAGGATCGTCGTATCCGTCGCGACGATTGTCTCTACCCATTCCCATTTTACCACCACGACGATCATCACTGTTGGAGTTTGATACCTCGATTCTCACGCGTCTTGTCTTTAACGTAGTGTTGGTGAGGTTCAATGCCTCAATCAAGGACGCACGATCGTCGAACTCGACGTATCCGTAGCCACGGAGTTTTGTTGAGTCCTTGGGGAGACGAACGTTCGTCACCTGGAGATTATTCAATTATTATTTATTATTCATTCACACTAGATTTATTTAAAATTATTAATCGAATTAGTCAATAGCAATATATAAATAGATGGATAATAATTAATTAATTGAGGGAATTTTGAGGGGGACATGGGGATTACCTGCATCTCAGCGAAAAAATCAGCAAGATCGTCCTCGACGACGTCGTAAGGCAGATTTGAGACGAAAGCGACGAAGGGAGGACTCGTGGGGATATTTTCGTCGTGACAACCTGGACCACGAGCTGCTCTCGGGGCAGTGGGGAGGACGATGGGTTCCTTGTTGGTGCGGGAGTGGTAGCCATCTGAAAATATATTAACAATAATTAATTGTTCTCCCTGTTTTTAATTTCAAAAAATGGAATAATAATGGATTAAGAAGGAAAATTGAATTACAGACTCCGAATTTCGGTGGAGGGAGGAAAAAATTTGATACGTAATAATTATTTGGTTGTTGTTAAATGTTTGTTTAATGGAGAGATTGGAGGGAACGTACCGTGTTCGTCCTCGACATCATCAGCCCAACTGGTAGACTTGAGTGGAATAGTGGGTGCACCTCCATTACTAGCCAGAAACTCTGTCAATGCGACAGTCTGCATCTTCGCTTTTTTCCCCTTCTTACCTATCAACAATGCGATACAACAAATAAATCAATACCAAAATCGTCATCTAGTTATCAACAATTACAGGTGAACATCCAAGAATATTTGGCAGCATGTTCAAAGTCTCGAGGTGAGTTTGGTTAGGTCTCACAATTTCATCTCGATAATTGCAACAAAATGTCCAAATACAATTGTTTATTTTTGAATTAATGTGTATTTGCACTCACGTGAAGCCATTCTGCTGATATTAATTATCAAAAGGTCAGGATTCCTAGTTGAGAGGCTGGGTGCAGGTGTACACCACACCACACGATCAAACGTTTCGGAATGAAAGGTTTTTTATTTCTTCTTAAAGGGGAAAAAAAATGAGCGCCTCCTTGCAAAAATTTGAGGGCTCGTAATTTCCCTAGAGTATTAGCGCGAATATGGGGAGTTCTGGGGAATTTTTTGGAGGACTACTGGCGGCGTGAAAATTGGGGGGAAAATTGGGACGTGTAAAGATCCGGTGATTATCATTGGCCCCCTCGATTGGCGGAAAATTTGAATTTTTGGAGGAATTACGTCAATTATTATTTTGTTTATTAAAAAAAAATGGAAATAATGTTGTTGTTAT